AATAAAATTTAAAGATATATTTATTATAAATAAAATTCAAAAGGCCAGGCCTGGTGGTTGACACTTGTTATCCAGCATTCTGGGACAGCCAGGCAGGAGGGGGGAGGGTCACTTGAGCCTAGGGGTTCAAGGCTGCAGTAAGCCATAATCACACCACTGCACTGTAGCCTGGGCAACAGAGCAAGACCCTAACTCAAAAAAAAAAAAAAAAAAAAAAAAAAAAGAAGGCCAGGTGCAGTGGCTCACACCTGTAATCCAAGCACTTTGAGAAGCCAAGGTGGGAGGATAACTTGAGGTCAGGAGTTCCAGGCCAACCTGGCCAACATGGTGAAACCGTCTCTACCAAGAAATAAAAAAATTAGCTGGGGGTGGTGGCGCACACCTGTAGTCACAGTTACTTGGGAGGCGGAGGTGGGAAAATTGCTTGAACTCAGGAGGCAGAGGCTTCAGTCAGCCGAGATCATGCCACTGCACTCCAGCCTGGGCAACAGAGTGAAATTCTATCTCAAAAAAAAAAAAAAAAAGGCAATGCCCTAAATATAAATGAGGAAATGTAGCTAATCTATCATTCTTCCACCCTGTTTCCTTACATGAATCCCCATCCTGGAAGTTATTTTAGCAGGTCTGAGAAGGACAGCCATAGGGATTTAAGCAGGATAGTTATATGATAAGATTTATTTTCTAGAAAGAGCTTTCTGACAATGGTATAGAGGATGGATTGGAGGTGAGAGACACTGAAGGCAGAGAGAGCAGATGGGAAGTCCTGCAGTAACCCAGGCAAGAGATGGTAAAGGTTAAGGAGATAAAGAGAAGAGTTTTTGAAAGGCATTTTAGAAGTGGAGGTCAGGCACGATGGCTCACGCCTGTAATCCTAGCACTTTGGGAGGCCAAAGTGGGTGGATCCCTTGAGCTCAGGAGTTTTAGATCAACTGGGAAACATGGTGAAAACCTGTCTCTATAAAAACACAAAAATTAGCTGGCACATGCCACATGCCTGTGTTCCCAGCTAGTGAGAGGCTGAGGTGGGAGGATCACTGGAGCTCGGGAAGTCGAGGCTACAGTGAGCCGTGATTGCACCATTGCACTCCAGCCTGGGTGACAGAGCAAGACCCTACCTCAAAAACGACAAGTGGAATTAGGGTCAGGCACTGAGCTTACACCTGTAATCCCAACACTTTGGGAGGCCAAGGCTAGAGGATTGCTTGAACCCAAGAGCTTGAGACCAGGAGAATTTAAAGTATCCTTTAATTCTTTTTTATCTCTACAAAAAAGAATGTTAAAGAATATTAGGCTGAGCGCGGTGGCTCATGCCTGTAATCCGAGCATTTTTGGGAGGCCAAGGCAGGCAGATCACAAGGTCAAGAGATTGAGACTATCTTGGGCAACATGGTGAAACCCAGTCTCTACTGAAAAATACAGAATTTAGCTATGCGTGGTGGCGCACGCTTGTAGTCCCAGCTACTCGGGAGGCTGAGGTTGAGAAGTGCTTGAACCTGGGAGGCGGAGGTTGTAGTGAGCCGACATCACGCCACTGCACTCCAGCACTCCAGCCTGGCACCTGGCGACAGAGTCAGACTCTGTCTCAAAAAAAAAAAAAGAATATCAGCCAGGTGTGGTGGCATGCCCCTGTGGTCCCAGCTACACGGGAAGCTGAGGTGGGAGGATTGCTTGAGCCCGGGAGGTTAAGGTATAGGTAAGCCATGATCATGCCACTGCACTCAAGCTTGGGCAACAGAGCAAGACCTTGTCTTAGACAAACACACAAGCAAAAGGAGTGGAATTAATAGTATCAGAAAGCTGTCCTGGAGCCGGGCATAGTGGCTCACGCCTGTAATCCCAGCACTTTGGGGAGCTGAGGCAGGCAGATCACTGAAGTTAGAAGTTTGAAACCAGCCTGGCCAATAGGACAAAACCCTGTCTCTACTAAAAATACAAAAATTAGCTGGGTGTGGTGGCGCATGCCTGTAATCAGAGCTACTTGGGAGGCTGAGGCAGGAGAATTGCTTGAACCCGGAGGTGGAGGTTGCAGTGAGCCGAGATTGTGCCACTGCACTCCAGCCTGGGTGACTCAGCAAGACTCTGTCTCAAAAAAAAAAAAAATGCAAATCATATATTATCTGGTAAGGGATTTATGTCCAGAATATACAGAGAAATCCTAAAACTCAACAACAACAAAAAAACTGTCCAATTTGAAAATGGACACAGGACTTGACTAGACATTTTTGCAAAGAAATAACACAAATGATTGATAAGCACTGAGACAACATAAAGGGTCCAGCCAGCACCCTGCTGTTTAAGTTTTAGCCACCATCTGACTGCGATCACACCTTGAGCTAGAGCCACCCAACCTCATGCTTCCTGAATTCCCAGCCCACAGAAATGGAGAAAATGGTTATTGCTTAAACCACTAAATTGGAGTGATTCATTTTGTAGAAATAGTTCATGGCACACGGTAAAATGTTAATATGTGGAGAATCTGGGTGAAGGGTATAAAGGAACTCTCTGTAGAATGATCCTGTACCTCATGTGTGACAAAGGGGTGGGGTTACAAGGATCATAGTCTCATCTCAGGATTACTCAGGGCAGCCTACACCACCCAAGTCTATACCTGTAACAATGAAGCCGAGCTGGAACTTCAGAATGAGAAAGCAAGATAAACTGAGTGTGCGATTTCCCTATTGCCTTGGTGACACCCGGATACCCTGCAGATGTAGTTGGAAACAGCTTCAGTTTTCCAACTCTGTGGCTAGAAAAAAGTGTAGCCTGAGTTTTTACTCTCCTAACCCCTTGATTTGCTTTGGGAATTATTGTCTACAAAGGGCTCTCTCCTTTCTGAGAATTGCTTTAGGTGGAAGAGGATAGGATATGCTGTGTCCCCTCTCTTTTCTTAATCACTGTATTTGTAACTTTCTTTCTTCTTTTTCTCCAAGAAAATGGGCTCCGTTGGGGTGCTTTGGGACCAATAGTCCGAGGTGGAATCTGTGGGCGCTAGACAGGGAGATTTGGAAGAGAATGCTAAGCTGTGAGCTCTTGCTTTTGAGTTCTTTGAAGAGAATGCAGCATCTCTGGCATGTCAGCAAGCCCAGCAGAATCCAGTAATGTTCACCAAGAGGGCTTGGCTAGAGCCGGTTAAGGGATGATCAGAATGGTTAGGTGTGAAGAACTTATGCTGATTATGGAGGGTACGGGAGTCACGGGGTTGGTGCCCAGTGAGGAAATTTACCTTAGTGGAAACCTTAGTGGAAACATTTGGGAGAGTGTAGAAGAGAGAAGAGCTAGAGGTGAAGATTCAGGAAATAGAGAGTGCCAGAGTCTCAATTACCAGGATGGAAAGCTAAGGAGATGGGAGACTTATAACAGTAGCACAGTACTGAGAGACAAACTACGTGTAAAGGTAATAAGAAAAATGTGGACTGAGACTCTGAGGCAGTTAGGCCAGAGAAAAGAAGAAGGAAAATATTTGTCTTCATTTGATTCAATCACGCTAGCATTTCTCAGGATCTACTATGTGTCACATGCTGTGCCGGATGCTGAGGGAGGGGAGGAAAAAGACAGCATTCCTGCCCACCAGGGTCACAGAGCCTGACTGGAGACACAGACATGTAAACAAATGATGAGAGTGCAAGGTGTGTGTAAGAAAGGAGGAATGTACAGGGTGGGTACACAGGTGACCTCAAGGCACCCACGGGAGTCAGGGCTGAGGGAGGAAGAGCCAGAAGACATCAGCACGAAGAGAAGCAAGATGCTGAAGTCACAGGGGGAAAGAACACACTGGAGCCCTGAGCAGAGCAATGCAGGGCAAGGACAGCAAGTGTGGAGAGGAAAGGGGGATCGAGAAGAACGGAGGAGATCCATAAAAGCATGCTTGGAGGAGGGAATTTGGGAACTTGAACGGACATGTCAGAGGGCACTAGTTATGAGGAAGTAGACTGCAAACCAGATAGTGAGCAAGATGAAGAAATAAGAGGTGTTTATCTGGGCCGGGCGCAGTGGCTCACGCCTGTAATCCCAGCACTTTGGGAGGCTGAGGCGGGTGGATCACAAGGTCAAGAGATCGAGACCATCCTGGTCAACACGGTGAAACCCCATCTCTACTAAAAATACAAAAAATTAGCTGGGCATGGTGGCGTGTGCCTGTAATCCCAGCTACTTAGGAGGCTGAGGCAGGAGAATTGCCTGAACCCAGGAGGCGGAGGTTGCGGTGAGCCGAGGTTGTGTCATTGCACTCCAGCCTGGGTACCTGGGTAACAAGAACGAAACTCCGTCTCCAAAAAAAAGAAAGAAAGAAAAGAAAAAAAGAGGTGTTTATCCTTGCAATGTGAGAAAGACAATAAGGCTGACAAAAACTTAAGTGATATGCTGATAGACAATTTTCTCAGCTCGATTTAAGGGTAAAGGCGTACTCTCTGGTAGGAGACGAAAGGGAATGTTTAACCTAGGTAGAAAAAAATGGGGCCAGGCACGGTGGCTCACGCAGAGGACTTTGGGAGGCCAAGGGGGGTGGATCACCTGAAGTCAGGAGTTCAAGACCAGCCCTGGCCAACATGGTAAAACCCCGTCTCTATTAATAATGCAAAAATTAGCGGGGGGTGGTGGCGCACACCTGTAAATCGCAGCTATTGGGGAGATTGAGGCAGGAGAATTGCTTGAACCCGGGAGGCGGAGATTGCAGTGAGCCGAGATCATGCCAGTGCACTCCAGCCTGGGCGACAAGAGTGAAACTACGTCTCAAAAAAAAAAAAAAAAGAAAGAAAAGAAAAAAAATTGAATTTGGGGATTAGAGAAAAAGGCTGTGATTGGAAGCCACACACCAAGAGAGAAGATAAAATCCAGCCTTAGCTCTTCCATGTCGCTGAAAGAGAAGAAAACGTCTCTTTTTCCTTTTTCGTAGCCATAAAAGATGAAAATCCGTCATCCAGCAACTGGAATCAGGTGTACACAGTTGTTCCTCCTGTGATGAGACAGGGTGGAGGGATTGTTACCCTGTTGCCAAGGAAAAAGGAAGGGGCTGTTCCCAGTTGCTATGGTGACAAGGTAGGCGCGTTTCCTTGGTATCACTGCACACATCTAAGGCGGTCTCCTCTCCTCGTTGCTACGGCAACTCAGTGGGGCTGTTCCTGTCGCCCCCCGCCTCCCGCCGCAGTCGCCGAGGCAAGGTGGAGGTAGGGACTGTCCTCCTCCCGCCGCCGAGTTGCCTTGGAGACGGCGGGTGCCCAGGCCCCGCCCCGCACGGACTGACAGCGGCGGCCGCATCGCGCCTGCGCAGTGCCCTCGTCCCCCGCAGTCTGTGCGTTGAAGCCGGAGACCGCGGCGGCCTCAGCGAGGACCCTCCGCCCCGGAGCCGCCGGCCGGAGCCGCAGCCTCTGCCGCAGCGCCCCCGCCGCCTGTCCCCTCCCCCGCCGCCTCCGCCGGAGCCGCCTCGCGCACTGTGAGTCCGGGCAGAGGCGACGGACGCCTTGGGGCTGAGTCAGCGGGAGGCCCGGGCCCGGGCTGGGGGAGGGGAACCGGGCTCCCCCCGCCCCCACCTCCCCACCCGCATACCCGCACCCCGACCGCGCCTTCCCCGCGCAGATCAACCCCCTCCATCCCTGTCGCCCGGCTCCCTCCGGCCTCGGCGGCCCGGCCTCCCCAGCCACTCCCCCTCCTCCTCCCTCCCCTCCCTTTCCCTGCCTCTCTCTGGATCCACCTTGGGGGTCCTTCCGCACTAGATGTGGCCACCGCACCTCTGCCCTGGACTGATACTTCCTCCAAACTACCTCCCGTCCGCCCTTGTCCCTTCTCCCTCCTCGCTCCTCCTAGGCCTGACATCTCCCGGCCTCTCCGGTTCTCCACAGTGATATGCCAGAAAAAGAGTGACTGGAGAGCGAGGGGAGACTTGGGGGAGGGGGAACATCGCGCTGGGCCCAGCGTGGGGGCCCCGGGTTTCTTCCCCACCCGCTCCCGCCTGGCCGGTTTGGGGAAGCAGGTCTGGACAGTTCTCACGGGCTGCTCAGAGCTTGCAGTGCTTTCGGAATAGATGTGGCTGAGAAGGGTTCAGCCCCATCGTGACCATCTAGCGTTTATGAACGCGGCTAGTGCCTGGTGGCCTTCTAGTGGGCTGAGCTACTGCCCAGCCGGCCGGCGGTGTGAAGCGGGGAGTAGAAGTAGTGGAGAGAAGGGAGAAAGGTTGCGTTTGGGAGCTCCAAGTTCCTGCGCTTCCAGTGTGTTGTTGTGAATAAGCATCTTGTGGCACTTTTTAAAATGCAATTTTTTAAATGGCACTGCAACCCTGGTATAATGTGAGGTTTGGAAACAGGCCTGATGCCATCCATAGGAAGTGCTTACTGTTTCTATATGAAGGGGCTGTGGCTGGACTTGGTCTTGGATTCCTGTAAATTAACTGATTGGGTAGTAGTGAGTTTTAACATAACGTGTGCAGAGTGGAGAGGAAGAAGAAAAATCAAAGCTTCTCTACGGTGTAGGTGTGAGGCCTGTACACTGTGCCTCCTGCAGCTGTGTCTTTGTAGGGGGTGTCACCACATAGGGGTTCTAGCATATTTGGACAATTCCTTGGGTTATGTTTGCTCCCCCTTCACCTGCCTGTCTTGCAGTCCCTGTTTTTGGAATAGAGGAGGGTCGCAAACAGTTTTCTTTTTCCAGGAGAACTGAGCTGAAGTCAGAGCTAGTGCCCAGAGCCAGAAACTCTTAATAAACATGTCTCAACTTGAGGGCTCCTAACTACTGTGTGTGTACCTCATTGTCAACTTTTTTTATTTGGCTTCCAAATTTCAGTGTGCTTTTAAAAAAACACATGTAAATATGAGCTGGATCTACCACACAAGAGGCTTTGGGCTTTTTACTCCAGATAGCAAAAGGAACGAATGGTCCATTGTTAAAATTCATGGTGAAGGAGCCACTCATCTGGAGTTTCTGGGGTTGCAAACACTGAGAAATAACTATTTCCCTCCTTTACTTTGCTCAATCATGGCCTATTGGCAGCCTCCTCAGAGCCACTCCCTGCTCCCATGCCCATCAGATTAGTTTACAGTAGCCAAGACGGCTGTCGCCCTAGTTTTAAACATAGAGATGAAGTTCAGGAAAAATATAGCCCCCATCCAGCAGGGCAATTTCTTCTGTTTCGAATGCCAGACTGGGGTTTGGTGGGATGCACCTGCCTGTGGTGCAATGGGAACCGTGGGGCCTGAGAGTGGCATTCCTTCCGTGTGGTCCTGTATCACATAGCTCACCAAAATACCCGAGCAGGGCAGGAGCAGACAGCTGTGCTGGAGAGCTGCTCCTGGGCTGAGTGTATTTTGGGAATCAGCGATATTACTGGGGTGAAGGGTTGTGAATTAAGAGGGGAGAAAATGTGTGAAGGCTAGATAGATCAGGAGGGTGTAAGTAAAATGTTCCTTTCCAGTTTGCTGTGGGATATAACACTTTCAGAGGATCACAGTGGTTTTTATGTGGATTAATTTGCCTTTGAAATCCATACCAGTGTTTTATGAAATAATAATGGAATGCCTTTTAAACTGCTACTATGAGGAAACAGGACTGATACTTGTCTTGGGCATTGCCTATCCAGCTGTTGCTGAGTATAATTGTTTTGTTTGTTTGTTTTTTTCTTTTTTTTTTTTTTTACCTATGTGTCCAAGGCATGAACCAGGCATAGGCACAGATCAAAAGCCAAGCTGGGATGAACAAGGGGTTGCTTTGTCCCTGGCTGATATGAGATGGGCACCACCAACCAGATGCCACTCTACCCAGGTCAGGGACGAGTGTAATTGTTAAGATCAAGGAGAGGCACATGATTTGAACCAAGTTAGACCTAAGTCTATGTAATCGATGTTGTGGTTTTGTAGGACTGTATTCTTGGTTCTAAGACACGCCAGCAATTTACCAATAGCTTTTAGGTAAAATAGTGTAATGTTACCAGATCAAAAATGTATGTTGATTCCAAGGTACATTCTCATTTTAGAAACATTAAAACAGTCAGAAAGTGGCAAGGCTTGAGGAAGGGATTTGTGAATCTTGGAATTGAGAAAGAATGGTGTTGATAATATCCCTGTGTGATGATGCCATTTCTGACCTACCATCCTGATAGTGCATGCATTGTGAAGACGAGTTTCTTCCGGTCCTTCCTCCATGCTGGCACACATTATGGGGTTGTGTTTGTAAGATAACTGGCTGGAGTTAGGCATGGTAGGAGGCTACTGAATGGCGGAAAATTCCCATATGGGAATCCAGCCAAAGGCCTTCGTGTGGTACTCTCTAGAAACTGAGCCAACTAACTGGCAGCAAACGTCTTATGAGCTATACCTGAATTTAGCCAAGTAACATTTGTCAGGAGCTGAACAGAAAATATAGTTTTTTAAAACAGAATGCATCTGCCCTGATTTGCTTACAGACACATTTGTAAAGATTCCAAGTCTCCTTCCCTTAGGATGTTAGTACTGGAGGTGACCCCAAATGGTATAGTTTCATGCCCTCATTTCTAAAGTTGACACAAGACACCAAGAGTTAAATGGCTTGCCTAAGGTCACCCAACCCATGTGGAACATGTGTAAAAACACTTTGTAAATTGTGTACATTAGGCAGGTGAATGTTGGTGGTTATTAGTGGCTGAGTCAGGATTAGATCTCCAGATTTCCACGCTAGAGTTAGTCTTCAGCACCGCATTGCTTCATCCCTCGTAATGTTCCAAAGGGTTTTAATAAAAATAATTTAGTAGTCTATAATTAGCCCTGTAGACAAGGGCTTGTTTTGTCATCTGAGATGTTGCAAAGCCAGGCAATATTTGGTGTCAAACTGTCTAATTAAATATTTATTCTTGCCACCTTAAAAATAATATTTTTTTCTCACGCATTCTGACTTCAAGAAGGTCTTTTTTCTAATTTGCATCGACTAACAGAAAAGCAAATGTGAAGCTGGGTATTTGAAGTCTTTTCTACTTCTTATATGTGAGACTACCGCATTCTAGAAAGCAAGGTGGAGAGGCTGAGAGGAGGAGCATGCATACTGGGTAGCAGCGGGTTATCTTCCAGCTCTCAGAATGGAACCTTCTGTAGTTTCTGGGAGCCATAGGGACTTCTAAACCCTATCCTTGGGAAGTGCTGAGGCAGCCTGGCCTCTGGAAGCAGGCAGACCTGAGTTCAGATCCCCATCCAGCCACCTCCTGGCTGTGTGGCCTTGGGTGAGCTATGTTACCTCTGAATGCCAGTAAGACTGGAATAATAGCCATCTGTTTTACAGGGTTATTGTGAAGATTAAATGAAAGAAAGTATGTAGAGTGTTTGCTTCATAAGAAATACCAGTCATTATTTTATATTTACTAAAGCATAAAATAACAAATAATGGTTTCAAAATTGTATCTTGATTTAGGTCCATCTTGGACCCCCAGTTCTGTAGCCCCCATCTCTCAGCAGCCCTGTCGTTATTTGACAGGGACAGAGAGAAGGTTTGTCCTGGGAAGAACTGGCACTTGCATTATTATTTCAACTGCCGAAACAGGAGTATATGAAATGTATCTTTGCTCCATGTATTCAGCCAACCTGAAAGACTGGCAGGACGGGAGCATTTGGTTTTAGGAGGCACAGATGTGGTATGCTTAGGGTTGTGGTGTGCTTGGGGTGGCTAGTCCTCCATCAGGGAGGCCAGTCTGGGGAGTGGTCTTCATTTGAAATAGAAAAGCTACTGAGCTCTTGCTTGTGAGGGACACGCATGTGGTCTTCATTGGCTTCCTCGACTGGTAGAGGCATAGATTTCAAGGGTAACTTGGCTAAAATCAGCTTCTGCATCCGTGAGATCCAGAGAGCAAGGGAAAGGAGCTATTCATCTTAGGAGGGAAACCTCACCAGTGAGTAGAGGTAAAGGGAGGTCATTTTGGATGGAGAGAATTACAGACTGGCTCAAGGCAGAGACTACTGAGTAATTAAAGAACCAGGGCAAGCTGTTCAGGTGAGAGAGCAAAAGTGAATTTAAATTCCTAGATAAATTTCAGTAGGGAAGGAAATACCCATGTATAGACATCTAAAGATTGAAAAGAGAAACACAATACTGTTTACCTCTGGGAGGTGGGATTTGGGTCTGGAGAAGGGAAAGGGAGACTCAAAAGGGAACTTTATATGCTTTGATATTTGACTTGTTGTAAGAAGCGTGGATGCTTTTGTCATTTAATGAATACCAAATAGAATGGGCAGTAGTAGTTGTTCAGTAAATACATGTTGGTACAAAAGAAGCAGCTGACTTTACTTGGAGCCTCTCTTGCCTGGGGCAAATAATGTTTGACAGTTTCAAGCAGGCCAAGGCAGTTTGCACCAAACCAAGGTCTTAAGTGAGGGCAGGACCCTCCAAAGAGGCTGCTTTGCCGGCAGCCCAGTGTACTTAACTGACCACCTACCTCATCACCTCTTCTTAAGACTTATTTTAGCTGGTCATTCCATTGCTTGA